AGACAGCCCTTTATATTCAAAGCTGTAATGGGGATTATCAAAAAAAAAAAAGATTTATATAAAATAGTTAGTTCCCAAAGGTTTCGCCGTGATGTGACCAGAGGGGTAACAGCTAGGCTAGCTAGTAGGTTACTTCAAAACTAGAAGTCTCTGGAACTACATGAAAAGTGAACAAAGAATTCTGAGCGTCAGCGGTGAGTTACCCAAATATAAACTCAACCTAAATCCATAATCAGATGCTCTGCAAATGTGTCCTAAAATGTTCTTCTAATGTTAATAGCTACTTCCAGGTTTACCGCAATCGCTTTTTGACTCATTAAAACTGTATTTTTGTCACGAAAACGTTAACAGATCATTCTGAAAATCTCCGTGCATATATGTTAAGGATGTATATGTATAATGTGTTCTCCGATTAACATTTATATTGATTGATATTCGTGTTATTGAGCGTGGCTAGCTTCGATAGCTTCTCTCGCAAAATAATTAATAATGATCGGTAGAACGTTATTGAAAACACATTCAAATCAATGGAGCGTTCTACTGCTGCTGTGAGGAACTGTATAATAAATTATGATAAAGTATTCTAATATTTGAATCAACAATCTCTCCTCCACACGTCTTGGCCCATTGACCTGCTGTGTGAACGGAAAACATCCTGTTCTATCCATGGTGTTAATACTTATTCTGAGCATAACATTGCCTCATCTAGATCACGTCATTAGGTAGAGAGCCCACCGCCCCTGTATTGGAATAGTTTGATTCTCTGATTTGTTGTGAAGTCTCCAAGATGACTGCTGTTGTGAATAAGGGCTATACACAGATACATTGAATTTATTTATTTTTCTGGAGAATGCTGAGTTTGCTTGGTCAAGAATATTTCACAAGATGGACAACCATGTATGGATGCTCAAATTGTAAATATTTCAAGGGATCTTTGGGAAATACAAAACACTGAATGCGTGATTATGTTAAACTGTGAAATGTGTATGTAATCTGTATGTAGTAAATCTCCCCTCATAAGATAATTAAAAAGTTCTTGAACATAGAAAAATCTGCTATGTATAAGAGGGTTGCAAACTAGAGCAAGTTAAACTAAAGTCAAATTCATTTCTGTAACTCACACAGGCAGAAACACAAGCTTCTAATTAGAGTTGTATATCATTAATCTCTGTTTGCTTCCCTGAAAGCCTCTTGGACACGCGGTTATGTGAAACTAATTTCCAAATAACACAGCGGCTGCACGCGGTTCTTAACTGACATAAGTGCTCACCTTATAACCACATAATAAAAGCTCTCCAATATCATCTTCTATAATACATGGCTGTGCTGAAATCCTCCTCCTCTTGTGCTGAAACTAGACCAGCTTTGAGCGCTCTCTCACAGAACAAAACCTGCTACGCTTTCTGTCACACCGAGTCCCAGGGGAGGCCCGAACATTTCCCTTTCATATTCCACTTCTAACCAAATGTAAGCCGTATTATTGCTAACACTGACTCAACAAGCACATGTAAGGCTGTCTTTCATGTCAACACTACACATTTTCCACTCTGTCTAATGAAATAAAGATGGACAGTGAATAAAATCTGTATAAAAAAACAGCAAGTGAAGGAGGTGCGGAACAGTGCAGCGGCTGAAACGTGAAGTGCGTGTGTTGAGAGGAGCAGGGCAGAGCAGGAGGTCAAGATAAAGTATTATTGCTGATGCTGGTGTCACAATATCCACCTTTCCAGGCAATATCTGCTTTTTGTATTTGACTTTATCTGCCTCTTCAGTGAGGCTGACTCAATGCTCTCTACCCAAGCACTTCTGCCAGCAATACTGCATATATCATTCCCTCTTATTCTTACCCCCAAAACACATCTCTATATTTTTACCTCATACATAGAAGATAGTTTTTTTCCCTATAGTGGAGTGCCCTTCACCCACATTTCCTCAAACCAGTATATTCTCTTTGTCACCATTCTTAGAGCAGGACTCAGCAGGTTGTGCCGACATTATACACTTTATTTACCCTTTTCCAATGCAATCGTGCCGCTACAAACCAACAGTTTATTGTAACCCGTCATTCTTCTCACAATACGATTTCCTGTTCTAGCCTGTAATCCAAGGCTTTCAGCGACTAGATTTATGCCGATTTCTAGTGTACTACAATATACCTGCCTCTGCTACTGGCTACTTGCTGAAGAAAGTGCAACTGTATTCAAGCAATTTGCATTAATTTGCAGACTATTATGCGGATGAAGTGTGTCTCTTTACAGCACTCTTGTAGTTAAAGTCCCATTGAGTGATGTGCTTCCATTTGATGCTGTAATGTGTGAATTATGTTCCCAAAACAAATGCCTGGAGAAAATGTTATGCATTTGGACTCTATTATCATTCAGGAGGAACTACATTATTGTCAACGCAGGTTGTTGAAGTGGTTTGTTACGTGTGTATGTGTGTCTAAAATCCATATATTAGTAACTTTTTTTCAACTTGCATTGTTTCCTTTATAAATAAGTTTTTATCATTGAAATCTCATAATCTCTCTCGACTCAGTAATCCATGGAAAGACAGTGATATGGTTCATTGCTCACCTTGGCTTGGGCTGATCCGTGGCATCGTGCCTTGCCTAAATCCCTCCCACAAACACAAGCTGAATAAACAGACATAGAACATTTACACAGGCTAATCTGCTAATCCCCTCAATCTATACCTGCTTTCTAACACACACTCACACAGTGAATAAGCCGACTGAACGTTTTACCAGAATGAGTCATGCAACAAACATTTGCAGATGCGCCATATCTGTGACTTTACATTATGCACGCTGACCTCCTCTGCAGGATTTGGCTTGATAACAGACACTGGGGTTAATCGGGATTAATGGACTGCATACACACGTTCGCCCACCACTAGGGCCACACAAGTGCACAACAAGAGCCCGAACGGCATCACAGTGCGCCTATCAAGTGTGTGTTTGTGAGCTCTCTAAAACCGGAGTGCGTCTCTTGTGATTGGATAATTGAAGCGTGGAGAAGCTGTATGGAGTTTGTCAAAAGTCATATTAATGGTTCTGCGCGTGATTCACAGTGGTGTCATTAACTTGCGCTCACCCATGCAAAGATTTTATCACCAGGATTAACAGGCGACGTAACCACATTTGTAACTTTGACCTGACAATTTAATGACCTGTGAAGTGATGCTTTTCTTGTCGGGCCTGACAGACTGTCTTGTTATCATCCGATCTCTTAATTTGTGCCTAATGTGGGCATTGAGGGCTACAGCTCTCTCTGGCTGTTATCTATAGCAGCGCATTACACAAGTTAGCTCAATACATGATGTAATTCTAAGCTTCGCTCGGTCGGAAAGTCACCTCAGTGCTCTAATGCACACTTAAGAGAACATGTGAATTAAATTAGAAGTTGTTTTGACAGGCTTTCATAGAATTACCATGGGAATAAACCTCTTCTTGCTCAAGGTTACAGCATGTTTTTCTTCAGATTCTTTCAGACAAAACTGCAGCGCTTTTTTTTTTTACAAGACGGGTGTCCAGTTCAATTCCTAGGCTTTTCTGTGTGGCATTTGTGAGTGTCTCTCTGTGTTTGGGTGAGTTTGCTACAGACAATGTGGTTTCTCCCATCACTACGAAATATGCACAAAATATAGGACTGGTCCAAAAAAAAAAGGTTTGTTTTTCAAGCCCAGCCACGGATGAAGCGAAAGAAAATGGATGGATGGTTTTTCAAACTGTGGTTAAACAGATCAGTTTTTTTAAATAATATTGATACACTTTAAAGTAGCTATATGTAAGATTGTCATGTCAAGTCGTCATTAAATGGCCCTAATCTGTCAAAAGGCATTAAAAACAATTTCTCCTGTGTGAGATCAAAGTCTAAAGTAAAGTCTATCTTATCTTATCTTATCCTTTAAACCATGCTCTTTTCGAATACTTCTTTTAGTATACTTCATGTGTTTTACAGCCCCTAAATCCTGGGATTGTTTTCATTTCAATGTCCCGCCCTCCACTGTTTCACCAATCAGATAGGCCGTGATCTAGGTTACCAGAACTCACCGCGTCAAGCTTATCTCACTGGTTAAAGCTGCACTAACTGACTTTGGGATTTTGAAGCCGCGGACTCTCTGGCCTCGCTCTTTCTGCTCCCCTCCCCGCACCCACGAAGCTATCGCCCCCCACACACACCCACTGTTGTAGACGGAGCTAGCGTCTCCCAATATGGATAATACGTGGATATGGATTTGCACGTGGATGGCGTGACCATAGAACAATAGAACTGGGAAGCGTGGAGGAACAGGACTTTCTTTTGGATGGCTGTCTCGCTGTGTAAGCAGTAACCGGTGACGAAGACAAGGAAGCTTCAGGCTAGCTCCGCAGCTTGTTGTGCTAACTCAGCCGTCTGTGCTAACGGACCTGTAGAGTTCTCACGAAAGTGGGGGCCAGTGGTCCGTTGTGATTGGTCACAAACACATTCTCTTCCTTGTTTCATCAAAACTTGATCTAAAGTCACGCCAGCACAAACCTGCGCTACTTTTTCTTCAAAAGGACGTATGTTCCGATGCACTACATGGACATGGATAGCATTTTCGTAATGAATACAAAAATAAAGTCAGTTAGTGCAGCTTTAAGTAACATGTGGCCACAGCACTAATAAATGTCTTGTTATGATTCTTTAATCATTAATGACAAAAGAAGGAATAAAATGAGGATTTCTATCGGGGCCTTTGTGAAAAAGGCGTTGGTTATAGATTTGTTGTTGACAAAACTCTTGTCTATTCACCTATTGTGGTCCCAGCTGGATTTGTCTGCATATCTGGCAACCTGAGTCAGGGAGAGTGCAATACCACTTTTGGCCAGATTTTTACATACTGCTCATTAAAATAAAAATAATAAAGATATTTATTAAGAAAAAAATACTGTAGGTTGCCCTAGTGGCATTGCAAGGAAGTGTCAAAAGCAGAGGACATTGAAGTAACCCTACCTTACCTCTTGTGTCCTGTAGGTGCGATGGACAAAGACGGCAGGAAGCGCCTCCGACAAGTTCCAGGAGACGTCCATCTACAACGAGACGCTGAGAATCGAGAGCATCCAGAGGGTGCAGGGCGGCCGCTACTACTGCAAGGCCGACAACGGGGTGGGGGTGGCTGCCATCAAGTCCATCCGAGTAGATGTGCAGTGTAAGTGGGCAAATGGAAGGAAACAAAATATCTAATACAAAATACTCCTTCCACTTCTGAGGCTCCGGCACTTTCTCTACAACACCGTTCCCACCTTTAAGTTCACATGGAAAACGTTTAAAAAGGGAGATGAAAGATGGCGTGATGAGATATGTGGTGGGAATGGTTTCCAGGAGTGTGTGATGACTCATATGAAGAGGAAATAGAGGAGATTTAAAAGATTGTTTTCTATCAGTTTCTAAAATAGTATAGTGAAAAAAATATATTGCTGGTAATTCGGCGGATTTCTTCAGAAACACATTGTGGCAATTGTCACCGCATGGTTCAATTTAGCTGCGTATCAATATTGTCCTCCAACTGTGAACCTGAATATAAACATATATTGAAAACTTCTCATTTTAAGTGTGTTTCTGGTCTTGTGGACAGAAGAAGGAGTCTCACACAGTCCTGGAGAGTAGAGAAGTCTGGGCAGAGAACATGTTTTGAAGCAGTTAGTCCAGGTGGTACGGACTCCCTAACACCCTGTTTCTCAACCAGCCTGTGATAGCGGGCCAATACATCGCCAGCCAATAATTAAGAGGCAACCTTTATTGCTTGCTCTTTTAGCTTTTCCCAAATGAAATTGAATCCATTAAAAAGAGCTGAAACAAAAGACAGTTAATGACTTGCTAATTCATATTATCAGCCCCTCTTTCGTCATTACCTGCAATTAGCATACACCCAGATGCTGTATATTTCCCCAAGTTAACAGATTTAAGCACGCAGCAATGTCATCACAGGACACAGGAGAGATATTCATGACATTTTAAGAAACGTCTGCAATCAAATTAAAAGCTACATTGCGATGACATTGGAGGAGGATTAACAAGACAAAGTGTAGTGTTCAGTAAAGCCAAAACTGCTCTATCACTATATTTGTGGGGCTGGGCTAATTCATTAAACAGCCATAGAAATGTGGAAAGGCAATGTCCTTGATTCATGCTCCATCACTTACGCTTAAAATGCTTTTAATAATGGTTTATGCCTCCAAGGTTGGTGTCAATATCTCATGTTTATTTTTCTTACTTTAAAAGAAAAAATATGGCATCCAGTTATATCCATCCATGTGTGAGGTAAAAGCAGGGGTCACAACAGGAAATGGTGGAGATGCAGTGGTGTTGTAGGGGCCCCGTCCCACTGCTTGTTTCACTGCCCCACTGTCTCTGTGAGCCAGGGTCCGGTCAAAGGTATGACTGGGGTAACATGCACCATGTGGACTGATTGCCAATTATTTCTACTTGCACTGCCATCTTTTAATTCCATGAGCTTTCCGAGGCTGGGGGCTGTATATCTCAGGATCCCAATCACGGCATAGTACCTTTTGACAATACAGTGAAAATATTAGATTCATACATAACAAAGCACTCTCTTCCATCCATTATCAAGCATTACCAAACATTTCTTTTGTTCCACATTGTGTTGCAGCCTTTACCCTTGGCTCTGGTCAGGCCTCTTCGGGGGTATTCATTTGCGGGCGTTTGTAGTAAACAGGTTGTACTGGGCGTGCGGTAGTGACAGGAGCGCTGTGAGGCTAACCAGCTCCGACAGTCAATGCTTGTTCAATTCCCCTTCCCCCCATGCTGCGTTATAGCACCAGCGGCGATCAGCCATGACTTCAACACGGCGACTTTAGAGCTAGAGCGATGTAACAATTAGCCAGAGCGACCAAGAATGAAGAGAGACGCAAAGGTCATTGGTTCTAAGGCAAAGCTACGCAGGATGCTTGATGAGAAGGATCAAAAGTGATTGCTCAACATCAGATAACTACTGTAGTTATTGCCACCTCGCTCCTTCCCGTCACACCTTGCATAGTTACCCGGCCCAATAACTATAATCTGATCAAAATGTAGCTTGTTAAAATACTGCATCTCCCAAGTAATCTGATTACAGTAACGCTCAGTAGTACAGTTATATTGTACTACAACAAGATAGGCAAAGAAAAATGAAAAAGTGAGCCATAGTATTGTTCAAAAGTCAAATGAAGAAAGAGAACATAGCAGCTTTAGTGTTTTTATCTGTTTTTCTGAAAGCAACCAACAATGTCTGGTGGAACATCCTGCAATTTACAAATATTAATAAGCAATATTTGAGGAATACAGCAATAAAGAAAGGAAATGAAAATAAGGACGCTTTTTCATAGATATATTCATCCAAGTGCCTCAATTTTAGATCCTTAGTTTGCTTTTAGTATAAGGATTTTCAAATGTATAGGTGCAAAGTATCAGTTCATCATATTAAATATTTTTGAAATTTTTAGTGATGCTCATCTACACCGTCATGCACCGCCCGTGATTCTCGGCTTCATTCCCATACACATAACACACACTCCGCCTTGTCATTTCCTCGTTTGCATGTGACATTCATATACTGTATTTGCATTTGCTCATGAGTGTGCACGCCACGCTTCACTTTTAAAAGAGCATATATAGTCGCATCATGCACGAGAACGCACATCTTCTCACATGAAGTATTGAGTGAGGGGCCAGAGGAGCCGAGATGACAGGCACAGTATGATCTACAAAATAATGGAAAAAATAACAGAATAGTGGAGTGTTTGTGCAAACATTTTGATTTGGAACCATTCAAATAACTAATTCCCTTTTTGGAATTGAGGCTGACATTTCTCCATTGCTCTCTCCTTAAGACACTAGAAAGCCTCCACAAAACCATACGCCGTGCCCCCCAGCCCAAGCCAAACAGCTGCAGTCCCACTTTTGCATTGTGAAGACCGGCCAAACTCTGACCTGGCACTATGACCACCGAGACAGTGGGTCAGTGAGCTAGCGGGGTTTAACTTTAACAAGCCTCTACTGATTAGATGGACTTGGTTCAGATACCCAGATACAATATGAACAAAAGACAACAACTATATATAGATTGTATCGTGGACAAAAAGAGGTAAGTGACCTAATGTTTTATGCCATTATTATTGTGTTTGCAGCGTGCATGTTGACATTTGTATGTGGTGATTTTGACAGTGATGATGCACAGGGAAGGTGGTATTTAAATGTGTTCCCTCTGCCAAAAGTCATAACAACAGCTTGATGCTGAAGGGTGAAAGCACTCTTCTTTGCACACACATATGCAGCTGGACGTAAAAATACTGCATAAATCAACAATAACAGGTCCTAAACAACAACTTTTTTGGCTAGTTAATTTTATGTTGACACTCATACAAACGTAGACAATTGTAAGGGCCTTTCAGTAAATTGAAGATTGCACTTGTGGAGTGACTGGCAATCACACATTATCAGTGAACTTTATTTTGTGAATTAAAGTAGAGGTTGAAGATGTTCATGCCTATTATTCGTAATGTTAATCAGTTCACCTCAGTCCCCCTCTGTCCTCTGTCACTTTAAAACTAATCTTTAGATGTGTGTTTCAATAAAAGGAAAACAAAATCTGAAATGCTGGTGTAGTTGGGGAAAGTGAGCCGCGGGTTGCAATGTCCCATTCTCTTTGTGCCGCCTCTTGATGCTATATCTTATTACATTGTTTCTCTTTCAATACATTTTTCATTTAGGTTTCTGTTTGAGTAGGGGACCTCATTACTTCCTCATCTGTTTTTGTTTTCCTTCTTTCGCTGGGTCTGGTCTCAGAAGGCGTTTTCTTATGAACTTTTCTACCAATCTTATTTTCTCTCAAACTTGAAAAAGAAGTGAACTCAGTGCATCCATGGAGCAGGAGGAAGAGCAGGGGCAAGCTTTGTTGTAGTGTTTCACATGTGCAAAATATAAGTCTGCTCCTTTCTGCATTTTGGTTTTCAATGGCCAGTGCATAATTTTAGGAAGACCATACAGACTTGGAACTATACGGGGAAAATAAACTGTGGAGTGTTGATTTGAATTAGACACCGGTTATAATTTTTTTTAAATCATCTCGTCTGAAGCAAAGTGAATCATTCCAAACGCTCTAAAAGTAAAAGTTACATCTAGTCCGAAGTAATTTTCATGTAACAGGAGTATGTCGTTTTCATAGAAAGTAATTTGCTTATGTAATTAAAACTTCTAATATTTTGGTATTTATCTTATAAAAATGCCCAGCAATAAGCAGAATCCGCCATGTAGCAGCTGTATGTTAAAGGCTGTAAAGCTCCTCGCGTGGTAGGTTTACATGGGGACATGTCCCCACCAATATTTTGGGAGGACTAGAATGTCCTCACCAAATAAAAGATAATGTCCCAGACCACATCCATCGTCTCGCCTCCTCCTCGTTTCCAGAGCAGCACGAGCGGCATCAGCACGTGACCCACTCATCTCTGCGCAGTGATTGGCTGTATTTGCCAAATTCTACGAGTAGCAAGCTACTGTTTACCTTCTAAAAGTAAAGTTTGACTGACACCGCATTTGATATTTGTTCTCTATAAAATATGAATAAATCATTAGATGAAGACATTTATTTCATTTAGATACAATGGCCCTAATTTATGAAACTTGTGTCCAACCAAATCAGGGTATAAATGAGGCGTACGGAAAAAATGTACGCCTTTCGACATTTATCAATCTGGAAGTGAGCCTACGGTACGCACAGAATATACACCGAGTCTGGAGGTGGCCTGAATTTTACACCCATTTTATCCTTCATCCCAACACGCAAATAACATGCATAAGATTTGGATAAGAATAAACATATTCCCACTCTGGAAAAATAATAGGCATACCTCTCACGTTAAAAATATGCAATTTTACATAGTTATGTTTGGGCCATGCCGTTTTTGTTATTAAACAACGTGCACAATGTCAAACTCAAAAGTCTCCCACAAATGTGTGGATTGTTGTATGTGTAGCACCTACAAATAGTGCGCAACGGCAACTGGTTCATGCGGGTCAAAGCAAAAACGCACGCCACCGTGGAGAGCTGAGCAGGTCTGATCAGAGGAAGATGGCTCTGGGACATGCAGTATGCACGCCGGAGAACGTGTGCCATAATGATCCTGGCTCGGTTCTCGACAACATGGCACAGTACCACGGTGTGCCATTGGATGCACTGGTGGAGCAGCCCATGGATGAGAAACCGTGGCCAGCACCATCTTCGGTCTGTACATCTCAGACAGGCTCTCATGCAACCATTTAAAAATGATAATCACATAAATATCGATCCATCCATTCATTTTCTTTCCCTTAATCCAATTCTGGGTCGGGGGGTGGCCAGAGATTACATCCAGTATACATAGAATCAGCCCCTCTCTGATCCCTCCTGCAGGGGGTGAGTCCACCGGAGGACGGCTGCTCTATGGCATAGCCTTGGTCTTTCAGTGGGGGCTTCAGGCAAAGTGGGGCTAAGTATCTGGCCCAAGGACACAACGACAGCAGACATCAGTGGGAGTCGGTGGCCAGCTCCGCCTTCGGCCTGTACAGCTCAGACAGGCTCTCTTTCAACCATTTTAAAATAATAATAACATTTATTAATTTATTAATTTGAAGATCATTTGATTTCTTAATATTTATATAACGCCTTTTTGTTGCCATTTGGTTGCTCCATTTTTTTTCACCCTTGGCATAAATTAATAAATTCTAACTATTGGCCCAATATATCTGTCAACAGTTTGACATAATATAGCGTATATTTCTTTTTAAACAAACATGAATAAACTCACCTTCAGGAGTGCGTGTTACAGCCCCCACGCTGTTTACAGATGCTGTCATCTCTTTCCGGATGTTGTTTTTTGAGCCCCTTGATGCCGCTTTAGAGGCTTCCAAATAGTAAGACTTTTTTTTCCCCTTTGTCCATAATGGTCTCAATCTACTGCTCCATGAAGTTTTTTTTCTTGGCCGTCTTCCTCTCGAAAGCAAAAACGTGAAGCAGATGGTTGCTGCATATTTATCAACAGCCGCAGGTGCTTACTTTTTGTGTATTTGGAATATACACCTACAATTTACACCCTTTTCTACGCAAGTTTCATAAATGAGGGCCATTGAGACTCAATTCTGTTTCTTTCAGTGCAGTAAGTAATCTTTATTTTATATTTTATTTATTTATTTATTTATATACCGCCTTTCACAGACCAGAGTCACAAAGCGGTTTACAATTGTTATTATTTTTGGGCATTGGTCCACTCACTCCACTCAGAGATGGGAGCGGGGTGCCAGTACAGGAGGCGCATGCCAGACCTATTGTGCATGTTTTTAGTGGTAGGGGAAACCGGAGTACCCGGAGGAAACCTACGCAGACACGGGGAGAACATGCAAACTCCACTCAGAAAGGCCCTGGTCCAGCCGGGATTCGAACCCAGGACCTTCTTGCTGAGAGGCGAGAGTGCTATCCACTCAGCCACCGTGCCGCCCAGTGCAGTTTCTTATTAAGATAAAAAAATCCTTTAGTTGGCCTATACAGCGGGAAAACATTCAGATTCCATTGGTCACATTTGAGAATTGTTGAATTATTTATACAGTATTGTCTATATACCATCACTGCAAAGGTACATCTCAATAGAACAAAAGTAATAGTTATAGCAAAGTATAGACAGAAGGTCGGTGACACATATTGTATGTTTTTTCCAATGTTGAATAAGTGCTGCTGGATCTGAACCTCATGAACCTCATCTGTTCAAGCACGCCACTGCACTCAAACTGAGCACCTCTCCGTGTACACGTCCTTCCAAAGATGGTCTGCTTTCATCAGCCCTTTCCCTCGTTTCAAATGGAGTTTGAAGGCTATCCTTACGGTTTATTTATCTCTTGCTGTCCACTTCAGATTTAATCTGTAAAACGCCTTTTTGAATGATTGGCATATATTTATTCTGTTATATGTCCTCTTCATTTTACTCTATATTCTTTATATTTTTCAGCCAATTGTAACAAATAAATAAAAGAATAAATAAATAAAGTCCAAAGATTAGCAACATATTTAAGAGGAAGTAAACATATTCCATACGTATTTCGCCTGGACCTGTTTTCAAATATCATTTCATTTGCTTTCACCTGAGCTACAGTCAATTAGATTCCAGCTACACCCCAGATTTTGATTTGTCTTGTGCAGAAGTTATTCCACTTGTTACTCCAAAACTACAAGCCTCAGCGTCACAAAGATAGATTCAATTAGAATACTGAAGATTAGGTTTAAGAAGATTGTTTCCACAAAGAACGGCAAAAAGGTTGAAGTAAATCAGAAATATGTAATGTGTGATTGACAGAGCTTAAAGGGACAGGGCTTAAAGGAGCATTATGTGGTATTTTTGAAGATTTCAAATTTCAGACAACACTCATACACACAGCAGCAGGCGTACACGCTTCCATAACATTATGCGATTGTGCATCAGGATGCGCAAATTCAGGCTTCCCACTCTCATGACTTTGAGGGTTTTTTCTCTCCCTGTGCAGATTGTTCCAGTGAGAACTTCAGCCTTGGCAGTAACTTATATTAGCTTTCAAGCACGGTTTTGCATGGTGATGTACGTATATGGGAAATACACTGTGGAAACTGGAAATGGAAAATAAACCCAATTGATTGGCCAAAAACCTGAAGTAAAAACACACACGCACACACACAGTTCAAAGCACTTGAAATAGGCCGACAGTGATGTATGGCAGTGCAGTGCAGATGCTCAGCCAGCTTAATATGGTCAGGTTATGTTATAGTAAGATAAGATAAGACAAGATAAGATAGACTTTATTGATCTCAGACTTTATTGATCATGTCACATCTGGCATAGAATCACTCAAGATTTGTGCAAAGAAAGAAGTGTGCAAACATGTTAAATGCAGTATATTATATGTACAATAAAAAAGTGGCAATTTAAGAAACAGTGTCAATAGTTTTCCTAGTACAAGCGACTTAAAGTGACT